GGGTGTGGTGGCTCACGCTTGTAATCCAAGCACTTTGGAGGCCAAGGCAGGTGGATCACCTGAGGTCGGGAGTTCAAGACCAGCCTGACCAACATGGTGAAACCCCATCTTTTTTAAAAAAAATTAAATTGAAATAACCAAGGTGAACTTTAATTTTTTTTGAGATGGGGTTTTGCTCTCTTGCCCAGGCTGGAGGGCAATGGTGGGATCATGGCTCACTGCAGCCTCAGCCTCCTGAGTAGCTGGGACTACAGGCATGTGCCACCATGCCTGGCTTATTTTTACATCTTTAAAATTTTTTGTGTAGAGTTGGGATTTACTATGTTGCCCAGGCTGGTCTCCAACTCCTGGCCTCCAGTGATCTTCTCACAGAGGTCTCCGAAAGTGGTAGAATTACAAGTGTGAGCCATTATACAGGTGTGGCCTAATTTTTTAATCTGTGATGTAAAAACCTCCATCTCTGCTTTTTTTTTCTTTTTCCTTTTTTTTTTTTTTAAGACAGGTTCTTGCTGTATTGCCGAGGCTGGAATGCAGTGGAATGATCTCGACTCACTGCAACCTCCACCTCCCGGGTTCAAGTGATTCTTCTGCAGGCGTGCGCCACCACGCCTGGCTAATTTTTTTCTATTTTTGGTAAAGACGGGGTTTTTCATCATGTTGCCCAGGCTGGTCTCGAACTCCTGGGCTCAAGTGATTCGCCCGCCTCGGCCTCCCAAAATGCTGGGATTGTAGATGTGAGCCATTGTGCCTGGCCTAAAAGTGCATCTCTGCTTCTTTAAAACCACACTATTAGAAATAATTTGACGGCTGGGCATGGTGGCTTACGCCTGTAAACCTAGCACTTTTGGAGGCCAAGGCAGGTGGATCATGAGGTAAGGAGATTGAGATCATCCTGGCCAACATGGTGAAACCCCATCTCTACTAAAAATACAAAAATTAGCTGAACTATTAGTGGTGGCGCATGCCTGTAATCCCAGCTACTCAGGAGGATGAGGCAGGAGAATCACTTGAATCCAAAAGGAGGAGGTTGCAGTGAGCCAAGATCGCACCACTGCACTCCAGCCTGGCAACAGAGCAAGACTCTGGCTCAGAAAAGAAAGAAAGAATTTGACTAGTGGTAGCCTAAAAATTATATTTCTGTGCTCCTCTCTTCCTTTCTCCGCCATCGTGATGTGTGCATTACTCCGTTTCTCGCCATGTCTTCTCACAAGACTTTCAGGATTAAGCGATCCCTGGCCAAGAAACAAAAGCAAAATCGTCCCATTCCCCAGTGGATTCGGATGGAAACTGGTAATAAAATCAGGTACAACTCCAAAAGGAGACACTGGAGAACAACCAAGCTTGGTCTGTAAGAAATTACACATGCGATGGCACACATATTTATGCTGTCTGTAGGTCACAGTCGTGTTACCAAATCAAGCTGAAAAATGTCACCGCCATCTGGAGAAGTTTGAACAGTTTCCTTTTTGTGTCTGTTATGAAGGCATTAGTTAGTACAACGCACAGTGCTTCCATTATTCATGTTAAAAAAAAAAAAAAAGGTTTTGGTTGCCTGGGTTCAGTAATAAATATGTGAGACCTTTCACTTCTAAAAAAAAAATAAAATTATATTTCTGTTATTTTTGTTAACTGGGTGATCATCTTTCAAATATGCCTTAAAATTTATCATCTCAGGCCGGGCGCGGTGGCTCAAGCCTGTAATCCCAGCACTTTGGGAGGCTGAGGTGGGCGGATCACCTGAGGTTGGGAGTTCGACCAACATGGAGAAACCCTGTCTCTACTAAAAATACAAAATTAGCCAGGCGTAGTGGTGCATGCCTGTAATCCCAGCTACCTGGGAGGCTGAGGCAAGAGAATCGCTTGAACCTGGGAGGCGGAGGTTGTGGTGAGCAGAGATTGCGCCATTGCACTCCAGCCTGGGCAACAAGAGCAAAACTCCATCTCAAAATAAATAAATAATATATATAGTTATACATATAGTCTCAACCAGGATGCATCCATCACTCACAAGTTCTATTTGCCGACTAGTCACATATGTCAGTGTTTTACTCTGCAAACCAAGTTACGATGCTTATAGTTCCTGCCACCTAGGCAGTTACAGTTCTACACTTGGCAAGATGACACAGAGGTCCCTGGAATCTCAACAGCTGGAGGCAGTAGGTTAGACCTGTCAGGATGAGGTTTCCCTTACGTTTTGGTTCACCTCAACTCTCTCCCTGGTTGAGAAAATTCAAGCACATAGTTCAGGGACTCGCGGGGTTTGTAATGAGACTTAAGAGGTGGGCTCCTTCCTTTTACCTCGTTGCCTTTCTGAGAGCAAGATGGGTCACCAGCAGCTGTACTGGAGCCACCCGTGAAAATTCGGCCAGGGTTCTCGCTCTTGTCGAGTCTGTTCAAACCGGCACGGTTTGATCCGGAAATATGGTCTCAATATGTGCCGCCAGTGTTTCCGTCAGTACGCGAAGGATATAGGTTTCATTAAGTTGGACTAAATGATCTTCAAAGGATTATCCAAGACA